AAATCGATGTTTAGGTGTGTTTTTTTAATATTTACTTTTAAGTTAAGAAATTAAATAATATACAATACTAAAATTTGAATTATAATCTACAGTTTGATATCAAACTTAATGACATAAATTCATAAAATAGTAGTGCAATAAAATTTTTAATTCAAATCAACAAATGCGATGACATGGCCTTTGACCAGTGACCCATGTGGAAAGGGTTAAATTTAACATCACACATAACTCCATCAGCATGAACTATTTATTATGTTTTAAGCAGTGGTACTAAGTGCTATTTTTCAAGCATTTAAATTGTTTTTAATGTAGATCCACTTTTAGTAAAGTAACAGGGATATTTTGTGCACCAAGTTCTAAAAAAAATTCTATACTTCCACGAAAGAAAATTTCTTAAGCTGCAGTGTTTATAAATACTTTATACCATTTGCTATCTACTGTAGACAATTCTACATTATTCAAATGATTGAGAAACCTCATGGGATATTACGTTTTACCCTGCAAAGACAATAACAATTTTAAGCTCAATCAAGTACAGAAATACACTGAAAGAATGTTTATGTCACTTCTGGACAATGCTCATTTTTCTTAGTTGCGCATATGGAAGAAATACTTGTATCTACGAAGTAATGGTGGGTTTCAATGCCAGGGACTAGTGATTTATTCTAAAAGAAAAACAACTATAAACTTGATTAGTAGAAATATATATATGTATATTCTTATCATTAGTGATGTTAATTCTAAACATTTATAGTGATACCATTTCTCTTTCTTTATCTTTTCCAACTGAAACAAAACATATTTAAATGACTAAATCTCAGTTTGAAGCAGTTACAAGACTTGCAGTGCATGTTGAATACAAGTTAACACAAGTGGAAGATTATTAATTTGAATTATACCTTAATTCCAGTATTAGTAGCATCCCGCACAGCTTCTAACAACTTGTCATATTTTGTGTTGAAGGCCAGAGTAAAGGCACAGTCAATAATACGACCTGAAATATTAAAACAAAATATTAAATTCTAAAAAAATGATGGAACCTTAATAAAATCTTAAAATATGTTAAACAAATGTTCTGGTTTGATACAAAATACAACATAATTAGTTCTGTTTCAATCACATCATAAAATGTGGGGAAAATATCAACATTAATAATATCTTTACTTTTTATGAATGATCAAATGGAACTTCAAAAACTGAATACTTATGTACATAACTACAGAGTATGATGAAATGGTTTAAACATGATAAAGTTAGCTCTAACATGCTACATGTTATAACTGAAATGAAAAAATTAGGGCTAATATTAAATTAAACAAGATTAGCTGAAGATTAAACAAAGTTACAGAGAAGAGATAACAACATAGCCAATAATTCTACATTTTTACAAAAAATGTTCAATTGCAATTCTTTTTTTCAAACACTTGGTTAATACATTTCAAATAAAACTATATGTCTAATTTTTAAAGCTCTTCACTGTATTTCTTCGGACTAACACTTACCATTGATGTGCGTTCCAAAGTCAATCTTACATACATCATCTTCTTGAAGTACAGTCTCATCTCCAGCATTAGGAGTGTAGTGTGCAGCACAATTATTCAGGGAACAGCCAGTTGGGAAGGCCAAACCAGCTTGTAATCCATTTTCACCAATAAGTTTTCTGGCTATATTTTCCAACTGTTCACTGTCATATTTAACCATAGATAATTATTCCTCATAAGTACAAACCTTAAAACATGCAACTCTATTAAGTTTGAAGAGACACCTGAAAACTGATTATTTCGAAGACAAAGCTAATTAAAACTAGAAAAAAGGAAAAATATCTTTGAGAAATGTTACAAAAACTTTAGTATATTTTACCAAAAAAGTAAACGGCTTTCTTGACAGATTATATAAAAAGGATATTTAACAATGATAGTTGTACCAGTTTGAAAGCACCTCATTCATTTTTCTAGAAAAAGGTGGGTAATAAACAAAAGGCTCTTGTCATGCTTAAATATAAAGTGCACAAAACTACTATTCCATTGCATGTAAGTTAAAAGGAGCTTGTATACTGAAATAAACTGCATGAATCTTAAATCACAGGTAGAGAACAACATAATAAACAAGCAAAACAATCACAAAATTCATATTTCTAAAAGTTCAGGTAAATCAACATTTAATAGTTTATTTTGAAAAGGTAGAAAAACATAATAAACAACTTAATCACGTTTATCAAGGTATGTCGATTTTGAAAAGCATATCATGCACAGGTGGAGCAAAACATAACAAATAAACAACCTAATCCATGATTTCCACAGGCTAATAGAAAAAAATTTAACATCCCCTTTTTTTATTTTAAAAAATATCAGCTATAGCTTTAAAGTATGTCATCAGTATGTTAAAATTACATAGTGCAAAATAATTTTAATTTAGAAAAAGTAAATTAAACAGCACAAAATAAACTGCATTAGTTTCAAGAAAAAAAAGGAAAGAAATCAGACTTTTCATAATCTAACTTGTGATTTGAAACTGTCAAATAATGGCATGTTGCACATTTAAAGAAAAAAATTAATGCTTTGAAATTGTTCAAAAATGAGCACTCTTTTAAGAATTTCTTTTGTATTTCTTTCATCACTTCTTCAATTTTCTTTTCATTTAGAGACCATCTAAAACTGTTAAATTAGAGGATCCATTCTCACTTAGATGATTTTTCAGCTTATTCTGCAGCCATTTCAACTTCTTTCTGAAGATCCTCTGTGTCTTTGCAAAGCCTCTTCTTTCTCTCATTTAGCTCCACGATACCCTCTTCAAATGCTCTTTTTTTTTGTCTGGCAAATTTTAAGCTCTTGCTGAACCTTCAAGTGCTTCTTGCAATTTTGCCTTGAAGCTTTTACATAAAACATTATGCTTAGGGTGACATTGATGTTTTCTATATCTTCAGCTTTAACTACAGCATATTGGATTATTATTTACAATATGTTTCTTCTTATTTGTCAAATTTGGACTGATAGAAAAGTCGCTTCTTACACTGACAGAACTAACACCAGTTTTACTAAAAACTCTTTTTCTTCCAGCTGTTCAGCCAAAAAATGTTCCAATGCTACTTTCTTATTGTTGTACTGAAGAAAGTGGCTATGTTTACATCATCCTTCAGAAAGTGTTTGAACTTTGTCTGGACACAATCACATTTCAAAACATGTCAAAATTCCTTTTAGTTTCTTCTCAAAATCTTCTGGACTTTTTCAACCTCTTGGCCATTTCAGATGGATCTGAACAAACAGAATTTTGCACCAAACTAACTTTGATGCAAGTCTTGTCACATAAATTCTTCAACAAATGAGCTAGTCACTTCCTAACTTTTTATGCATAATCCTAACATGGCCTTCTCACAGACTTTTCTGGATGCCAACAGTTCTTTGAGTAAGTTGTGTAATTAGGCAAATCATCATCCTTGATTTCATACTTTTGCAAGCTTGTAAGTATTATTGAGCCCTTTAAGAATTTCAAACTTTAAAATTTTATGCAAGACATTATTACCATATTTTCCTAGTCATGCCATGAATGAAATTATAGGTTCATCTGTTTGGTACTTCTTTAAATACCTTGTCACATGTTTTCCATAAAAATGAAAAAAATGCAGCTTGGCAAGAAGAAGTGCATCACAACATACCTCCTTCAGGATAAAATTCTTATTTACAAATGTGATCATATGAGGTAGCACTTCCAAAGTCCTTGTTGCTACAGGAATATTTTCTACCAATGATGGGACAAAACTTCAATGGGGATATAAATGTTCCTGTTATGGTGACATAATCTTCCCATCAAACTGGTAAATCCTTAAATATTTGGTCAAAAGCTTGTAAAATGCTTTTTAAATCCCAACTGGTAGGATTACAGAGGATGTATTTGATGTAAACCACAATTCCCAATTTAAAAAAGTTCCTTAGTTTTTTGAGCAAGGATGTTAGACAATAATTCGTTGCAGACTTTCAGGTTCATATCAGGTCTATCCATAGAGATCTGCACCAGATTCTCTGAATCAAACTGTTCTGTCAGCATGCTGAAAGCTGAATCAATGTTTGTTTGTTTGTTATGGATTTTGTGCAAAGCTACACGAGGGCTATCTGTGCTAGCCGTCCCTAATTTAGCAGTGTAAGACTAGAGGGAAGGCAGCTAATTATCACCACCCACTGCCAACTCTTGGGCTACTCTTTTACCAACGAATAGTGGGATTGACCGTCACATTATAACACCCCCCACGGCTGAAAGGGCAAGCATGTTTGGTTTGACGGGGGATTCGAACCCACAACCCGCAGATTGCAAGTCAAGCGCCCTAACCACCTGGCCATGCCGGACCCTGAATCAATGTAATCAGTACCAACCTTAATTGTTGAACTGTACAAAAACCATACATGGACATCCATTTGTTTCATTTCCAATTTTCATTTAAAGACTCATCAAGAAAATAAGGGCATGTTTTTAGGGATGATCAGATATGGTTGCACAAAAATACAAGCTCATGAAGCATTTCCTTCTATGCTACATTGCCAGTGACATTTATTTATGCTGTACCAAGCATTTTTTATTTCCATTTATGTGACATGCATTATTCTCATTAATGGTTTAAGACTTCAAGGTCTGTAAAGCCTCAGCTGTAACATAAACTGGTGGTGGTTTAAGCCTCAAAATCTTGCATTTAAGTTCTTTTGCCATTAATCTCTTTTTTTTTCCTCTTCTTATGGTTAACTGATTTTATGAGACTTTTTAAGAGCTGATTTTCCCATGCTTCCAATATCAAATTCTTTCATGCATACTTTGCATTATGTGCAGTAAATGTTGGTATCCAGCTATGCCGGATTGAATTTGCACTTCCCTGGTTTACTATGACTAACACATAAGATATCAAAAAACATTTATTGAAGAAAAAAAATCTATGAAACAAGCTGTTAAAATAAATTCTAAATGACAGCATTAATGAACAAAGCACTAATGAATTCCTTGTCGTTTACAGTTCCCTAGGTATATTACAACTTTTCCCAACTTCAGTTTAATAACACGTGATAAAGCCTCATGTCTTTCTCCCAAATACTGTGCTTTAGCCAGAGATAAAAACAGTGTAAGCAAAACCAAACAGTACCTACTGAACATATTATTTCAACTTGTCAATAGGACAACAAGTCAACTTTTACTTGACTGGCTGCTGAACATACCTCACCATGTCAACCAAGTCAACAACGCAAAGCTTCATGCTCATAATGTTGCACATATTAGCAATGGTTTTTCTGAATGACTGCATTCCATTATTTATAAACATTTTCTCAGTTTACTGCTACAATTCCATCTAACAAAGTACTGAAAACCTTCAGGCTGCAAGTTTTCTTGTACAATAACACAAACCCATTATTAAAAAATATTTAAACTAATAATTATTCTGAATAATATTATATGTTATCAAAAGTGTCATCATGTGTATCAGTTGCCACAGGGTATAATGATTAGAAGTAAAATAATGAACCAGTTTTTAAGAATTTTATTCATTTTTGATCTGGAAAAAAACTAATAAATGCACAAACAGACAAAATAATATCAATAAAATACAATAAAATACTGTATTTACAGTTCTGTTTGTTCCTTAAAAGCAGAAGATTGTCCCCAAAATATTTTGCAATGGAACCTAATATGTCAGTTAAACTCAAAAAATCTCACTTTAGATCAATCATTGAATTAAAAAAAGGCGGCTTAATCAGGTGTAAGCTCACGGGCTGTCTTTAATGGCAAATGCTTTGACTGTTTAATACATGGCAATTAGGATTTACATCTTTCTTTTTTTATGAAAAAATTTTGGGGAATAACTAAAAAATAAAACTTAAGAAAGAATCATTAAGTATTTTTTTAAGTGTTTATGCTGAAGATGGAAATCGGAAAATTCTAAAATGTCTGTTTTCTTCATCCTATCTACAATTTTATGCTTTTAGATTTATAACAAACGAGTCTTGAGCTTATTTTATGACAACAATATTATTCCAACAATAATCACATAACACCTGTGAATTAACAGGTATATAGTTGAAAGCCTAAAGATGGAAATAGGAAAATTGTGAAATGTCTGTTTTCTTCATCCTATCTACAATCTTATGATTTTAGATTTATAACAAACGAGTCTTGAGCTTATTTTATGTTAACAATATCCTTCCAACAATAATCACATAACACCTGTGAATTAACAGGTATATAGTTGAAAGCCTAAAGATGGAAATAGGAAAATTGTGAAATGTCTGTTTTCTTCATCCTATCTACAATTTTATGCTTTTAGATTTTTAACAGACGAGTCTTGAGCTTATTTTATGTTAACAATATCATTCCAACAATAGTCACATAATACATTGTTGCTAACAGAGAGAAGAATATAGTTCAAAGCCTTTTACTGGTCAGTGCTGCCAAATCAGCATATTTCCCAATTTAAGAATCAATTTTTCTGAGATAATTTTCATAAAACTGAGATAAACACAATGGTACAGCTTGTTGTCAATAAAAATGTGGGAGGAATGGGACCAGAATTTCAGCAATTTTTCAAGAACCTGATAAAAAACTGATTTTCCAGGATATTCACAACAACTGAAAAATTTGTTTACAAACCCTTTTAAGCGTATTTATCGAGGTAAACTGACTTTGAATAGTTAGCTTATCATACACTGGTAGTAT